AAACGGCGCGGGAAGAAAGCAAGCGAGAAGAGACCGACCGCGTGACGTGACATGTTGCGGTTGAATTTCAGCGACTAGTTTTTCTGTTGCCCTCTCCCCCGTTTGCTGTCGCGTTCAGACTGTCTCTACGGAATGCCTGTCTCTGTGCGAGTTTGTTTATCTTCTCGTCTGTCTTTGGTTAATTTCGTTTTATTTTGTTTTGTTTTTTTACTGGCACGTGCTGCTGACCCTTGAGGTCCTTCCGGAAGGCTACCCCTCAGGCTGGTGGTGCGCACGTTCCACAATTTATTCATCTATTTGTTTCTGATTCTTTTGTTTTCTTGTATTTTATCGCTCTGCTAACCCTTGGGGTCCATTTTATTTTGGTATACCTTTTCTAGGTACGTTAGCCTGTGACCACGGAAATTGACCGAGTCAAGTGCTGGATTAGTACGGAGAGATTGAGACAGAAGGAGGTACTGCATAGAGAGACCGGGATGGTTTTTAATGTGAAGACAACAGCAACAGTCAGCGTTGGGGAGGTATTCCCTTGGGGACACGGGCGTCTTGGAAACAATCGTTGGGGACGGTGACGACGGCTCGCGAGCACGGGTGTAGCGGAAAAAAAAAAAAAAGGCGCCGAAACAGTACTCGCCACACCCGAATTGAAATCAGCGCATGCAACAGAGGATGTAACAGACGAACGCTAAGCCGCGATGATATTATAGTCAACAAAGGGGGCGGAGTTCAAGAACGAACACCGCCAGTGAAATCATATTCAGAGCTTCTTGGGCGGCGAGTTGCACGAGTCGACTTCCCAGAAGTCGCCGCCACTCCAGTTTTCGCCTGACGCCCAAACCCTTTCGACACTACAGAAGCAGCAGCATTTGGTGTGTGCCATATCCATCTGCCGCGCTTCTTTCACACAAAAAAAAGCACATACACACACACACACACACACACACACACACCTCAAGGATTCCCAGCTGCTGCACCAGCGCTCGTTTCGCCCGAACCCGGTCTCTCGACTCCCGCAGGCCTTCCAGCTTGCCCCTTATCTGCTGCACCGTGTCTCGACGCCGAGTCACCGCCGCCTCCATCGACCCGAGCGACCCGGCCGACCCCGGCTGCAATCCTCCTGGTGCCGGGCGACGGTCGCTCCGGCCACCGCTCTCGACATCCTCCCCGTGCAGGACCGGCGGCGAAAGCAGGCCCGCCGAAGCTCCGTCGTCGTCGAGCGGGGCCGGCGCGGTTTCTGCCGCTGCGGGAGGCAGGGGGGATGGGGGAGATGACTCAAAGTCTTCAGAGTGCCGCTGTGATGCCGCGCTGGCATTGCACCGCGCATCAGCGATTTTCTCGGAATCTGTTGCTGCGGTATGGTCGTCAGAGTCTTGGGAGTCTTGGGAGTCTTGGGAGTCTTGGGAGTCTTGGGCCTCCTCCTCCTCGAAAGAGACGCTGTCGTAAGCCTCCTCCTCCACCTCATCACTTTGGGCTTCTCCCCGACCAGCGGAAATGTCGTCCGGGACTTCGCCCGCAGCCTCTTCAGCATCCCCGCCGCTCGTCACCTCCTCTAGCACGCCCACCAAGCCGTGCTCTTTCTGCTGCTCCGCAGCTCCGATGTCGTCGGACCCCGACCTCCCCTCCCCAACCGGGGAACCCTCTGAAGCTTCGTCGGGCACCGCTTTGGCCGCGGACGAAAAGGCGCTAGAAGCCGCCGAGATGTCGTCGGGGATAGTGTCGGCGTCGCCTTGGTCTGGCCCCTCCTCTCCGGCCCTCGGCGTGCCACCGGTCGCACCGCCGGGTGCGGCTACCCTCTCCATCGCCTGGCTCGGGCGGCCTGCGGCAGCGAGCGGCACGACGCTCTCCTGCAGCTCAAGCGCCAGGGACTCGTCCAGGTGGAGGGACCCTTCTCGAACGTCTTCTGCGGGTCCCCCGACATCTCGGTAGTCATCCTCCTGCGGCAAGGCCTCATCAGCCACCTCCTCGTCGTCGTCCGATAGAGACGCCGCTCCGCCGACAGTTTCGTTTCCGTCCTGGGCCGGCTCCTCCGCACGACCACACCGGCGGAACTCCTCGTCCTGCTCTGTGCTCCTGCTGCGGCGGTGGTAGCGATCATCATCACCGTCTTCGTGCCCGCTGGACCCGAACGAAGTGTAACGCTCATCATCATCGTCGCCGTCGTCGAGCTCTTCTTCTTCGCCCTCTAGCTCCCGTAGCTGCTCTTGCGTGCGCCGCGACATCGCCTCCCGCTCCAGCTCGATCTCCCGGCGAACCGCGGCGTACTCGACGGACGCTGCGCCCTGCGTGCCGCCACCGCCGCTGCCGCTTCCTGCGGCGGCCCCGCGGCCTGCTCCAGCGAGAGGGCCGCTCCGCCGCACCGGCTCCAACAGCGAGGACGACAACCGCTGCTGTCGCCTGGCCGAGTCCCTCAGCGCCGCCATGCGGTAATCCAGCAAGGCGTCGAGGTCGTGCGCGCCGACCATGCCGCCGTCTCCCAGGACAGCCGAAGAAGAAGAAGCACCTCGAGCGGCACTGCCGCTGCCTCCCAAGCTAGCACTACTGTTGGCCCTACCCGCCGCCGCCGCCACCGCCGCCCCCCCCACTGAGCCACCGTGTTGCTGCCGACGAACGCCCGCGGCAAAGCTGTTGAACCCGTCGTGCGAAAGTCTCATGTGCCTGCCGGGGGAGAACTCCCCTCCGCTCCCGCCGCCGCCGCCACCGCCGCCGCCACCGCCTACAGAGCAAGAAAGCCGCCCGCTTACCCTGGAACCGTTCCTTGAACCGTTCCTCGAGACCTGCTGACGCGGTTGATCGGACCTCGAAAATCCTCTCACCGCTGACGATGATTTGCGCTCTCTCAGTTCGGGCGAAAGGGGCTCTTCCGACGGCCAGAACTCCGGCTTTTGCTCGTGTGGATCCGTCGCCGCTGCCGCCGCTGCTCCCGCCGTAACTGCCGCGGGAGCAGATGATGCTTGGTGGAGCATGCTGCGGCCATTGTGCACGGGGGAGTGCTCGAGCAGGCTATCGAAGTCGGTACTCGTCCTGCCTCCTTGTTGCATGCCCTCCTCGGACCTGAATACGGTAGAAGCGCAAGTTTGGGGAGGGTCCCGAGTTGGACGGACGAACAGCAACGTCGGTTTCCCTCCCCCCCAACGGCCGTGTTCCGGGTCGTCTTGGTTGGGGGGGGGGGGCAGGCGAGAGGCGCTGGGAAAAACTTACGTGTGACTTCGGTGTTGCGGAGTGGCGGCTTTGAACAATTACGAGCGGAATTGCCCACGGCAAGCGCATAGGGCGCTTCGAAAACGTAGGATATACGAGGCGAGAACTTCGTGCAGAGCGGCGGATTCTCTGCATACTACATAGGGCGTTGACATGCTGCTCACACCGAAACACTTTGTAAAAGGGAGAAGTCAGCCTCTACGTGCACCGGGAAGCACACAAAAGCACGGCATTAACGTCGGTGAGTTTGGCTCACCATCTCGCCGTCACCAACCAGCCTATTCTTTCGTTACCCCTGCGATCAACACATCAGGAGCGGGTAATCACTCCCAAAACCCCGGAAGGCAGCACTTAAAGTTAGCACTCCGTTGGAGAGACCGGTGCAGATGAGCCTGCGCCTGAACCAGCTGCTATTGCGCATACCGCCGCGGGCTAATTCTCTCGTAGGGGTACTTGACGGGGGATATTGAAGACTGCTGCAACAGGTTCTAACGTTTTGGTACTGGTTTGTTGAGGTTCGCTGGGCTGTCGAGTCAAAACAAGTGAGCTGTGTGAGCTTTATGAAACGTCACACGGCAGCTGGCAGTCAGCTAAAGGGTTGGTTCTGCTGCCGGCTGCATTTCCGTCTTGCGCCACCCCTCGATGATACAGCTGTGCTCTCATGAGCCCACTCCGGAGGAATCACTTGCACACACACGAGAAAAACACAACAACTGCCCTTACCCGCTGTGCGTCCGCCGTCTACCCTCCCCCTCGCTTCCCTCTTCCCCAAGACTGCCGCCGCCGTCAGAGGAGAGCCTCCCCCTCTCCCTCTCTGCCTCTTCCCTCATGCCGCCTCGCGCCCCGCGGCGGGCCATGGCCCTACCCCGCTCCACCGCACGCTCCTGAAACGAAGCAAGCCACGTTGAGAGAGAAGAGGGCGTCATCGAAGGAGGGGTGCAAATCAAGAGTTGAGATGAGGTCACATCGTACTCAAAGCCCGAGGTCGACCCTTGGGAGTCACGTAATCTCGTAAGACTCGAGGAAAATCGAAAGCACGTTGTGCAAGGTGAAAGCTGTTCTATACATCGACCCGTTCTCACTGCAGCAGTCTTAAACCACGCATGCAACATACAAGTTGAGCGATGTGAGGCATGGACATGTTTTCACCACATCAACTAAACCATTTCGGTTGCGCACCCCGCCCCTACCCGTTCCCCCATTTATTAGTTCTCCCAAACAAATTCCAAAACCTGACCTCAACCGGCAGAGGAGGAAACAAAAACAAAGAAGTTGAGCTAACAATCTACACACCTGGAACTCCAAGAACATGGCTGCCTGAGCCGCCATCGCAGAGGCCTGCTGCGTCTGTGCGCGTGCCCCAGCCGCCGCCACCGCCGCCACCGCCGCCCCCGCCTGCCGCCCGTGCGCCCCGAGCGCCGCCGCGGAAGTCGCCGCTATCGCCACCGTTGCCGCCTCCGCCTGGTGCGCGGCCCGCTCCCCGGCCTCCTGCTTGAGTCGCCGGAGCCGAGCCTCGTGGGTAGCGTCGTTCCGTGCCAAGGCCGCTTCGAAGGCGTCTTGTTGTTGGAGCAGGGTATCCGCCTGTGCCTGTGCCTTGGAGTTCTGAAAAACAAGAGAGAACATAACAAAGCGCCGGCGGACATTTACGTGCACAAGGTTACGTCTGGCCCGACTGGGGTGCGAGGCGGTTGGGGCTGAGTCGGGACAACTGGGGGCCGCCAGAGCGTGACACGGTTAAAGTTGTAAGGTCGCGGTATGCCGCACCCTTAGCATCCGCGGCGAGGTGCTGCCTAGTCGGATCGACGTATGCGCGCACTCCTCCTAATAACACCGCGAATCAACGCCGTGTTCCGCAAGTGCCGACAGCCAGGAAAATGTAATTTGCCGCTGTACGAAGCTTGAATGGGCAAAAACTACAGCAGTCTCGTGGCGGTTCAACCCTCCCAGAAGCTGCCGTTGTCGAAGGGTGTGCTTGACGAACCGCGAACAACACCGTCGTTGAAAATAATGGCCCAGGGTGTTCGCCTCTGGTGCCATACTTCTGTCGACTTCACAACGAAAACACTCGAGGTGAGCATGTGTCCGGGGAGTCATCCAAAACAATTACCCGTATGCTGCTGTCGCAAATGAAGCACTTTCAAACGCGTTGTCTGCATATTCACAACACTCGTGGCATTTGCGAGCGACCTCGCACTACGTGTACACGAAACAGCAGTGTCGTGCCGTGGGCAAGACTCGTCGACAACCCTTAATTCTTTTCGCTTCGGACGATTTGCCGCTATATTGTGCCCGCAGGTATGAAGTCCGTGACCACGGATTGTGTCCGCATCAGTTGGACCAGCACGGACGTTAGCAGAACTTAGCACAGAGATCCGAATGTTTTTCGACTCTCAGGACAAGACAACACCAATGACCACAATAACAACCAACCACAACAACGACCATATACCGCAGAGCCATCGAGAGTTGTCTCCCTCCGCACGTACCCTTTCCCTACGCAGCAGCAGCCCGGCGACACGCGCCTCCCGTCGGGCTTCTTCCACCCTCTGCGCCGCCAGGAGGGCGTCCGCCTGAAGCTCGGCGTCCTGTAGGTCGTCGTGCAGCCGGAGCTCGTTCAACAGCTGCGCCTGGAGCTCTGCGGGCGCGAGCCTCCTCCTCCTCCTCCTCCCCTCCTCCTCCCCTCCATCGCTACCCGGTTCATCTACGGCGGGCTGAGACGGGAGAGATTCCCCCGCCTCTCGCATGTCTCCGCCTCCACCAACAACACCGCCGTCGGACGCGACACGAGATGACTCCAGGGGCTCCTGTCGGCGCGAGGGGGCCAGCGCCGGCCCCTTCTGCAGAAGGGAGTCCCACAGGTTCTTCTTCAGCTCCTGGCGCGAGTCGGTCCTCGGGGACTTGGGAGGGGACCGATCGGCGCCCGCCGTCCGCCCTGCAGCCGCGGCGGCATCTTCCCCGACATCCGCCCCGGCGGCCGCCGGACCTGTCCTCGTCGCCGCCTCCTGCGAAAGGCTGTCAATGCGGAGAGCTTCTTCGGCAGCCACAACCCTTGCCGCGGACCTAACGGCGTCCGCCACGGCGGCGTCTTCCGATGCGGTCAGCAGGGCGTTCTGTTGCTGCTGCTGCTGCTGCTGCTGCTGTCGCGCTCTTGCAGCCGCTGCTGCAGCGGCAGCGGCTGCCGCAGACGCCGCTTCTTCCTCCTCCTGGCGCCGTCGTGTCGCCGCCTCCCGCTGCGCCCGGACGATGTCTTCCGCCACGAGCGATACCAGCGAGAATCCTCCGGCGGCTCGTTTTCTATCGTCCTCCTCTCCGCCGTCGTTGCCGCTGCTGCTGCTGCTGCTGCCGTCTTCGCCTCTCGCATCGTCCGACGAACTCCACGACGACTGACGACCACGGCCGCCTCCGCGACTACTACTGCCGGCAGCACGGGGTATCCAGGCGGGGAGGCCGTGGCCATCACCACCCTCCGCCTCCAACATGACGTCACCCGGACCCCTCGACACGAAACCCGACTGCCGGTACTCCTCCGCCGCTGCCGCTGCAACCGCCGCCGTCGCGTCAACCCGATCATCGTTTGGACGAGCACCGCGTGCGGCCGACGACAGCGCCCGTTCTGCGTCCCGTTTCCCTGCGCCGGAAGGCTCGCGGAGCTTCCTGAGGACCTCGGCGATCCCGCTGCCGGCGACCGGCGTCCAAGGCCTTCCTCCGCCATCGCCGTGCCTGCTGCTGCTGTCGCCGTTGACGCTGTCGCGAGGCCTCCTCAACCCCAGCCCGTCCTCTTCGAACTCGACCGGGGAGCCCCACGCCGCTTCCACCGCAGGCATCTCCGCCGGGAGGTCCTCTTTGGCTGACGGCCCGGCAGCATCGGGCGGAAGAGGAGATATCCGAAACGCCGTTGGCGAAGCCCCGTCCAGAGGAGTCGGCGAGGCCCTAGAATTCCTCGGCTGGACATAAACGGGCCAAGCATCAGTGCTGCCGGCGGCCCCCCGCTGAGCAACTGTATCCTCCCGCGCCGCCGAACCCGACTCCATCGCCATGACGGCTGCGGGCGAAGCGGCCGGGGGCTCCGCAGCTGAGAAAGAGGGAGGTCCTTCGGGGCCGGGGCCGAGTTGACTGTGGCGGCGGTGAGGAGAAGTAGTCGGCCCTAGGAGCGGCGAGGCCTGCCTCGGCGGTAGCACCACCGGCGTCGGCACCGTGATCGCCGGTCGTTGGTCGGGAGTCCTCGCCCGGCCCGTGTCCAACCGCAGCAGCTGCTGCTGCTGTTGCTGCTGCGGAGCGCACACCTGCTGTGGTTGTCGTCGATGTTGTTCCGCCGCCTCCGCCTGTGCTTCCTCCGAAAAGGCCGAGAGCTGCCTACCTGCGGTCAACATCTTCGGCCGGTCACCGTCACGGCCGCCGCCAGCCGCAGCAGCTACAGCGGGAGTCGGGACGGGAGCGACATGGGGCGGCTCCGACGGTCGAATCGGCGGCGGGGTCGGTCTTGGCTCATCCAGAACTGGGAACAGAACGCGACGATGCGAGAATTGAGAATTGGATATTGGCCATGGTATTGTCTTGAAAAAATGGCAACACAGATCCCCCCATCAAACATCGTTTGTCCGTGAAGTTTGTCTAGAAAACATGTGCCAAAGTAACGCGAGAGTGACGTCGAGCGGTGAAGGAAGACACCGCACGCCGGACTGCATGACAGCGGCCTACATGTAGCACAGAAACAGGCACTCGGACAAAAAACGTCGACATCCATAACATGAATGGAATCAATGTCCCAGAAGACAAACGCTTTATCAAAGATGTAGTCATGAGGAAAACCTATCCGTTGCGAACACGTTGGTTCCTTGATCGTGGGTTAGTCTCTCGCCTTTTATCGCTTCTGTTGGCCTCCCAAAATAATTGGGTGGCGGACAAGACAGTACAAACAAAAACGTGGATCTGCGCTACTAAGCCCCCCGCTTCTCGACCAGTGTACACAACAAGAGACCGAGCCAGCTAAAGCAGGCGCCAATCCTGATTGGCCTTGAAAATAAAAAACGGTGCTACAGCAGTAGTCTAGGGTAATCACCTCGGGAAAGGCGGGCACAACGTCCCTGCAAGTCGTGCACAGTCAACGCCACCCTCTCCAGCGACGCTAGCATGAACGGGAGCCTCTCGTCGAGCGAGTCTTCCTCTTCATCTTCATCAACCACCCTTGCCCCTCCCCCGGCGCCGCCTTCCAACTCCTCCTGCCGAACCTCGGGCTCCGCCTCCGAACCCGTGTCGGGCAGCACCGGCCTGGAGTACTGCTCTCCGAGGAATGGTTCTTCCGCCTCATCCTGCAGACTTCGATCGCTTCGACGAACCTCCTTCCTCGGTACCCCCACTTCTACAACCGTCGCCCCACACCCCCCTCCATCCTCACGCTCCGGCCTAAACCCTCCATCGACCTCGTCGCCACCACCACCGTCGCCATTCTCCCAACCATGGGCTGGCCGCCACTGCCGCCGCGCCGTTGCAGCAGGTCCGTTACCATCACGGCGCAGAGCCGCCTTGGCCTCGTCGTACGCGGGGGGGTGGCTGCCGAAAGGCTGCGAGCGGTTGCCGCCGCCCCCGCCGCCCCCGCTGCTCTTGTTGACCAGTCGGCCAGAGCGCACACCCTTGTTGATGCCCCCGACGCCGCCGACAACGCCGTCACCCTTGCGCCTACTTCTGCTGCGCGGATCGGTGGCCCCCAGAGCAGCAGCGCCGGTAGTCCTAGGAGGCGGGCTCTTGCCCCGCCTTCGGGCATCATCCTCGGCAGGTTTACTCCTGGGCTTGCTGGCAGAGCGCGGCCGTGGTGCCGCCCTAGACGGAGGAGGAGGAGGCTCCCGCCTTCTCACCCCTCGCCTCTCGCCTCCGCCCCCGGCGTCCCCACCCCCTCCCCGATTCTCTTTGCCCCTCGGCCCTCTGCGGAGCCCTTGCGTCGCCGCTCTTCTCGGCTGATACTCCATCTCCGCCGGCGACCCCGGCCTCGACTTGACGTCGACGACGCTCACCCACTCTGGCCGAAGAGGTGGTGCCTTGGAAGCGGCAGCAGCAGCAGCCGCCGAGCTAACGCCGCCGGCGCCGTGCGGCGGCGAAGCACGGCGTCTCGCGGGCCCGCCCGCCGCCGCCGCCGCCGGCACGGAGAACGAGAGCTTGGGGGCGGGTGGCGGGGGCGGCGGCGGCGGCGGCGGCGGCGGCGGCGGCGATGGTGCGGTCGCGGCGGTGCGAGGCTGCCTGCCTGAGTGCATGTTTTCTCGAGACCGCGAGCGGAGTGGGCGCTGCTGCTGTGAGATGCCTTGTCTCCGCGTTTGCTCGAGCTTCTGTTGTTCGTTGACGTCCGGGGGGTCGTCACAGAACCACGAGCCAGCCGAAATGAGGTGTGGGGTACGTAGGGCGAGTGGGAATTCAACAGATCTGCGGAGGTCGACTGTGGAGGTCGACCCTTGACTTGGTTGTGTTCCACATACGTACAGAATACGATAACGCTTTCGATTTCAACGCAGGGCCAGTCCCACCCAGGTAACACCGGCACATACCTGGTCCTCGGCAACAACAGAAGCCATGCGGGTGACGATAATTGATGAGCGGAGAAAAAAAACATCACCTCAATTCATCGAATATTTTCGCCCCCGAAACAACCAATCACGCCCACCTGTAAAGCACGCCGCAGGTTCTCGGCACTCTCAATCTTCTCCTGCTGCGCCCTACGTTTCGCCATGGCAGCTTGCTTACGCTGCTTGGCCATGAACGCCAGCGTTTGGCGGTGCCGATCCCCGTTGCCACCCCGCGTTCCGCCCCCTTGCCGCCGCTCCTGCTCCTGCCGCTCCCGCTCGGCCTCTTCCTTAGCAGCGGCTTCTCCCCGCAAACGGCGCGATTGCTGCAGCTCGGTGTCGGCAGCTCTAGCCCTTGGGACGGCCGCCGCAACGACTTTCTCCGTCGCCGGAGCCGCCGCATCCGCCGTCGACGACTGCGCCGGATTCAAGAGCTCTTCCTCTTCGCCATGTGCCGGTGTCCCGCCAACCACGACACCACCGTCACCGCCACTACCGACGACGCCTCGAGCTCCTTGTCGACTGCCTTCAGCTCGACTTTCGCCCCCCTCTACATCCGCGGCCCCCCCGAAGGCGCCGCCCTCGTCCTCAGCCCGTCTACTACTACCCGCGTCTGCGGCGACACGGTTGGACTGGTCTTCTGCAAGGGCGTTCACCCTCGCCGTGCCGCTACTCCGTAGAACTCGTCTCCGGAGGGGAGGGAGCGGGGGATCCTCCTCGTCCCTGCTGCGAGTCGCACCGGCCGAGCGGGACAAGCGAGGCCGCGAGTACTGCTGCTGCTGCTGATGCTGTTCTTGCTGCCAACCGGAGCGAGGCCGGGGATGCTTGGAGCTGGCAGCAACGACACCCTGGTGCCCGCCCCACCTCGTCCTGGACCCGCCGGCAGCAGCAGGGTCGGGAGGGACGTTCTGCCCGCGTCCCCGTGTCTCGGTAATGCCGCGGGGAGAGTGAGACCGGGCCCGCGTGCCCGACGACCCCTCGCCAACCGCAGTGCCCTCCCTCCCCCGCCGGCCGCCGCCGCCCGCTCCTTCCGGGGGCCCCGCGGAGACGGTTTCGCGACGGAAGCGGACGGCGTTTTCGCGGCGGGCTTGGGCTGCCAGGGCCTTGGCGGCTGACTTTCGTTTCGCGGCTATCTCGCGGCGCTTCCGCTCCTGAGAGAGGGGCAAGATGCGAGCACAGATTGATCGCCCCGTGGTATGCATAGAGCAACGTGTTGGTGGGGGATGGAGTAGGTTCATGAAGACCTCGAGGCGCTATGTATCTCGAGCCGGTAGAACACTGCAGCACGAAGTGGGGATGGGATCGTCATAACCCGTGCGAGTGTCTTGCAAAAGTATGCCATGCGGCTCGTTTGAGCTTGTCCGTTAGGTCTCTCTCGTTGGTGCCTCTGATTCTCTACTCCTGTCTTTGTCTGCCTGTCTGTCTCTCTCGCGGCTCGGTGGTTTTGCGTATCACTAGGGTTGTGCGATTCCATTTCTCTGCCAACCTAACGCCACCAAACACTCTGTCTCACCCTTTCTCTCTGTCTCTCTGTCTCTCTGTCTCTCTGTCTCTGTCTCTGTCTCTGTCTCTGTCTCTGTCTCTGTCTCTGTCTCTCTGTCTCTCTCTGTCTCTCTCTCTCTGTCTCTCCCTCTCTCTCTCTCTCAACACGCAAGAACCTCCCCCTTGTCGCCCCCGGTTCCCACCTTCCCATGCTCCTCGGCAACCTTGAGCGCGGCCAGCCTGGAGCGTTCCCTTGTCCGCCTCTGTAGCTCCGACCTCGTGAGGATGATAGGGCCCTCGTCGGCCGCCACCTCGAAAGGGTCTGGCCGTCTACCCCCGCCCACCCCACGCCGTCGGCCCCCGGCGGACACCGAAGCGCGTCGCTGCAACATCTGCCGGAGGTAACGCACACGGCGAGGTAACGGTTTCGGGTGTAGCGGGGGGAAGGTCTACCAAAGAAAATACGTCGGAGAAGCGCTTCGGGTAGCGCAAAACTGCCAGTGATCGCGCATCTCCTCTTGCACATGTTGCTCGATATCTCCACGACCAACAGATGGCCGATGCCGAAAAGGGCGGTTATCGAATGCGCCCTTAAAGGAGAGCTATGCAGCTTCCCATGCAAGCACGTACGTATAGGTCAGTTGTTGGCACCCTCTTCGTTGCGGAGTAATGGAGCGTTGACTCTCCGTCCAAGGGGTTCTACGATGACTCGTGCTTCTACGGTACGTTTGTTGGCGTACGAACGAGAGCCTACACGAAAGAGAAGGGGTATGTAGGACAGAGGTGCCTGGTTGCAGGTCCAAACACTGGGGTGGTCCGGAGAAGGTGATGGTCGGTTGGCCAGGGCGTCTACCGAAGAGGCCAAGGTGGAAACATCGAGCGCCTCACACGGAGCTTACGCTGTCTTGCTGGCATGTAGGGTAACCCTTTTCATTGGCGCCAACGAAACGCACGCCAGTGTTGCTTCCTTCGCGGCTGCTGTTGAGCAATTGCGCAGAGACCAACGCGCGCACGAAAACTTCCGGACGCACCGGAAAATGAGCGGCGATGGGAGTCAAAACACCGTGGTCTGCTAGCACCCACCCCGTAATTATGATCGCAAAGCTGTGAGCTCCATCTACTCGGAGGCCGGGCAGGACGGACACTAAACGTAGGCTTGGTACTGCTCTGGAGTGTGCTGCAGCATGGTACATACATGAGCGAGCATGAATTTTCGGCTAGGCAGCCTGCTGCTGCACCCCTTTCGTGCCTGTAATGTAGGTCGTCCTATTGTGGCCTCATGTTCGTTAGGTCCACTAACCTTGCTCCAACTACTATCACGCCCCGAGGTCTGTAGAGTGTTTCGCAAGGTGCACGGAACACCCGTGGGTACAGTAGTGCGGTGCTTGAAGCAACGTTCACTGCTCTGGTAGAGTTGAACAAAGGAGTTCATCTCTCTCACACCCCATGACTGTATCTTTGGTGCCCCTTACGCCTGTAGTCAAGTGTGCTGCTGTTCCGTAGGCCCGTCGACGTGGCGAACGTCCCTCGACAACACGAATGAGAACCACGACGTCCGTAGAGTGGAAAGTCAGGGGGCTGGCTCTGTTGCTGGATCGGAGGGGTACATCAGTGTGGTCGGATCCCCATGCCCAGGCCTGGACCTCCGTGGTTTATCGGCATACACAAGACTACCGTATATGACACAAGACAACACACCCCCTGGCCCGATTTTCAAAGCTCGATTACTCCACGACGAAGAGGATGAATAAACGAAATGATACATTTTTCGAAAAGCTCTCGACAAGACGGTTTCAACGCTGCCGTTTTCGGCGCTGTGACTGTTCCTGCAGTTGAGAAATCGAGCTTCGAAAATCGGTCAAGGGTGCGTGTAATCTTGTGTCATATACGGTATGCATGCGTCCCCAGAATCTGAAATTTCAAAATTGAGGGAAGAAAACTGCTGTACTGCTGTACGCATCTCTCCTCGTCCCTCGAACCACACACTACATACACTTACCAGGCACGAACCTGAAACTGCCTTGTACTCTGACGCGACGAACAGGCAAGCAAAGGGTGGGGAGAACCAACACTAACGGCGGGGTCGCACCTGGTGAACAACCAACCGTTCCAGAACCTCTGCTGTTGTTGCGGGCAGCAGATTCTTTGGGAGGCAGCGAACCTGCAGCAGCAGGAGGGTGGTTACCTCAGAGAGAGCCTATCCTCGATCGATGGCAATCTTGATCTTCCATCGGGAGGGATGGGAAGTTACTTGGTCCTGTCAAGCAGCAGGGTTGCCGTTGCTGGGTCCCGCAGAACCCCGAACGCGGCAAAGAGCGAGACAATCGAGGAATAAAATCGAAGGAGGCATGTTTACCTAAAAAAAATCGACGACGCCATCGATGCCTCTCACACACGAAAATAAGGGGTCCTTCTCCCCTCTCCTGGAGGTTGAACAGCAATCGTGGTGCTTGCCTCCAGGGTCTCCCCTTTGTGTACTCGTTGGGTCGTCATAAAGTGCCTCAAAATGGCAATGTGCTTAGTCAAGTGCACTGAAAGTGTCCCAACGTATTAGAAAAATATTTTTCCTCCTCAAAATGGACGTTCTGTGCGGGACGCGCCCTAGGCTTAGACTAATACACCTAAAACGCCGGCATTGCTTTCGACAAAAATGACCTTCGCGTGCATTAATTATAGGAAACGTGTAATTTCGCCCGTGCATACTTTTTGTTTTGGCGCATAATATCGCGCATATCTATGGGCATACTATGCATAAGCGTGGTTATGCTCGCGGAGATGGGGAGGGGTGGATCCGCAATGAGTTAGGCGCCTCCCGTGGCCCCAGCAACTTGAACAAAAACTTGAAAAACGCCTTCGCCCTAAGCAACTTTATCCTCAAACACCATCCATGTGGGCACCACATGTCAGTATATAAGGCTTGGGACAACTCACCTCGTGTCGGGCAAACACTCTTTTTAGAGTGGCGTCAGAGGCACGATGTCATCCCTGCAATGTCGAAGTTGCGGTGTTCGAATGCCGTCACGTGAAAATGTTTTTTTTGTCCGCCGCCAGCCGGTCGGGTTCCGGTTACCGTACATGCTATGGGGGGTGCGTCGTGGTACCCGCGTATTTGTCTACGATGCTGAACTGTCCGCTCGCTCGTATCCGGGGGGGTATGTATGTGGGCACCACATGTCAGTATATAAGGCTTGGGGCACCTTATCTCGTGTCGGGCAAACACCCTTCTTACATCCATGGTGGAACTTATTATTAAGTAAATCGAGCGGACCTGCGGGGGGGGTTTGGGGGTTTGACTCTTTTTGTTCCGCGCCAAGAGCCAAGAGAACAGCAGAACAGCTGCACCACAGACCGCAGACAACCAGACCACCGACCAAAGACGAAAGACCTCAGCACAGCAGCACAGCACAACAACTAGCGAAGGCAAAAGGCAGACCGCGATCCACGTATTTTTTCCATCCTGCGTGCTTGTATGGATGCAAGGCAGGAGAATAGATTTAGCGACCGCGTGGCTGCATCCGCACTTCTCAAGTACAACAGAGACCGGGGAAAATAATAACAGGGGAATGGGGCAAATAGGGCGTGCTGGGAGCTGAGGAGTGGTGTAGCCATGATTGTAGCTGGTGTTCTCGTGTTGTCCGTTCGTCTGTGTGTTGCTTCTTGAGTGGTACACTTGTCACAGAGCACAGAATCAGAATCAACAACGTTACCGCAAGTGTTCAACTGTGGTCGGCAAAGACAGGGGCATGTGCTCACCTCGCGCATTGACCCTAAAATTACTGTATATATCGACTCCGTCAGCAAAAATAGTGCATAAGTTCACGCATGGAAACTGGAAAACTAGCGTAACTGCGCGCATAATTCGCTGCTGCAAGCACATGCTCGGCCGACAAAATATGCTAAGAAAAAAAATAGACTAGGTGTAAGCCTAAGCCCATGCTGTTACAATCCATGGATCATGGAACATGTGAACCCCTGCTTGCAGGGAGGAAACCGCGCCTGAAGATTATGGGCTGATAGCATCAGGCACGGCATCAGTGATGACGCCTAGTGGCGTTAAGATGCATACCTTACGAACACCCCTAAAAACCCAGCGGAGCGGGCTGCACCATCCGTAGGCGCTGCAGTGGTACATCGTTGCTGACGGTAACCATGTTTTACGCGACCACCGGTACATTTCCACCTTCGGAGACTCAGTTGTGGTGGCAATAGACAAGAGTTGTGGCGAGGTGTCACTCCGCCCATGCCCCACGAGAACCAGACTACTGATGCTCGTCTATTCTTGGTCGACAAGCTCCGTGAGAAGAAAACGTTGCAGTATAGACTAGGCTTCGGAATGGCGAACACACGACAGCCTTGGCAAGTGAATCCTCAGGCAAGTAAGGCCCGTTTTGTACACAAAGGAGAAAGCGCGCGTCTGTTGCCTCAGGCAATCACGGATCGGGATATACTTCCAAGAATATCGCTTCGGGACGCCAACACCCGAACATGTGAAGGCACCTCGAGCACCACACTTTGCACGCCGCTGCAGCTACCACCCACCCTCGAACATCCTCAACGGGCATCCGTGGGTAGGTGCGCAGACAGACGCCGTGATACACCGCTGAGCGGGATCATGGTAAGACTGTGGCCCGGTGAATGCAACACAACAGGGCAAGGAGAGCCAGAGCGCGGAGACGCACAAGGATTTTCAGCAGCAGAGGGGAGCCCTCGTTATCGTATC